TAAAACAATTTAAAGAAAATATATAATAAAAACAAAAAAAATTAAACAAAAGAAAATTACGAAAATTAAATCAAGAATATATAAATATTATTTAATTAAAATTGAAAAAATTAAATTTTATCATAAAGAGAAAAGAACTAAAAAAAATTTAAATTGAATATTTTTTATGTATATAAATTTTGGAGGATTAAATTCAAATATATCAAAATTGGGCGATTAAATAAAAATCTCAACCCCATTTAAGCGTTAAAATATTATACTATGACTCAACTTGTGTTTGACTCCATTAATTTTTTTTATTTTTCTCTCTTTTATTTTTAATCACAAATTTTTCATAAAATAATATTACACGTAAATAAAAACTTTTCAGTAAATCGATTGGATATTAAACAATAAAAAAAGATATGATTAATTACACGATTTAATTTTATTGAATATAGTTATCATCAAATACGCATTTATATGTAAAATAACCACTCAGACCAAAATAATATTTGATATATAAATTATGAGCTCCAATAATTTGTGTTTTTAATCCATGCATCAAGGGAACATTTATCACATCTCCAGAAAATACATTTCAATTATAGCAATACAAATTGAGGTCAACCAATTTTTCATCTTGATTATTTTAACATCTGAAAAATTTTTATATATAAAAGAAATTCGATCATTTTTAGGAATTTTTTTCTTATTGTTACTTTTTCCTCTCGATCAATTAGTTTTTAAATAATCTAATAAAAATTTTGACATCATTTAAAAAATTTCCTAATAAACTTTTAATTTTTTTTAATGTCAAAAGTGTGTCATATATGAATATTACATTTACATTTATCATTTTAAACAATTAATCAAATTTGTAGATTTATTGATAAAAATGAATAAATATTTTGACACTTTAATATTACCTAAAAAATGACATAGCCCGTGCATTGCACGGGTGGAAAATTAGTATATATATATATATATATATATTTCGTGAGATGACGTCACTGTACTTACGTGAATCGTTAGCTTTTGCACCGCAGTTGTGCAACTTTTTGGCACAAAAATGTAATTTTATATGTGCAAATTATCTTTTTGTCCTAGATTGGAAAATCACTTTTCCTGATTTTCACTTTTGAAATTGATTCTTCAAGAAATATGCTCTATTGTTGATTTAGCCTCTGTTTGGTAGTAATTTTTTTATCTAAAAAAATTAATTTTTTGATCGTTATTGTACTATTTTAGCCGTCATTTTTGATTTCTTTACAAACAGATGTGATCCACTTTCTCTCCGACGATCAAAAAATCAATTCCTATAATCACTATCGAACAAGTTCTTAAATTGTTGAAGAATTTTTATAAAAAATAAAAATAAAATTGGACTAAATAATAAATATTGAATTCAAAACTCCACCACGAATTACATTGCTTCGGCGAATAAAGTTCTTCGAGACAATTAAATAGGAGGCTAGGAGGATGTAATATACATTAGAAAAACGATATAACTATAATTATGTATTGCGGGCACATGAGTGTGTAGTATTAAAATTTATGTTGCAGAAATAGATAATATTTAGAAACATCTTAAATGCACTTACAATTTATTGGAAAAGGAAAAATTGAAATATATATTAAGAAAGTTTTTTTTTTTTTTTCAACATTTTATATTCATATAACCTCCGCAATAATGTTACATTAGGTTATTAGGGCTTGTTAGAACCACATTATAGGAAAAAAATCATTATTAATATCAAATCAATGAGAAATGTGTGATTAAAAATAAAGAAAAATTTTAGATTTGTGTGTAATATTATTTTATTAAAAAATATGTGGTTGAAATAATGTTAAATCACTGTTGAAAAATATATTTTTTTGAAAATAATATGGCTCAAACAGAGGTTTAGTGTTGTTCAACTCTTCACAATTTAAAAGTTGACCCTCTATCCACAAAGGAATTTTACTTAACGTTATAATATTCCAAGATGTCATATTTCCATCATAAGTTGCGGTCGCTCAATAACGACTAGCCATACGTCGTCAAGGAACGGAAATTCGAAAATTAATCGTTGTGATTGACCAATAGAGGCTAGCCATATGTCATCAAAGAACTAGTCCAAAATCGAAAATTGATAAAGCTTACAAACTAAGTTATAATGAGTGGTGGAGACTTTTGGACAGCACTAAGCAAAATGGACTTCTCACAGTAAGGACATATGGGAAAATTGGACATAGTCTATGCTCCCTTGACTTCTTGTTTCCATCCACCGTGAGGAATGGTGGTCTAACCTAATATTCTTCTTCAGGAATTATGTTACACACGTATTTTAAATCCCGTTTAGTGTAAATTTTTTTATAAATAGCTTTCATGAAAAGTTATTTATTTTTATTTTTAATTTTTTGGAAAAATGTGTGGTTAAACCTCGAAAAAAAAAATTATGGGTTCACATGTAAATACTAAAATTATTTTATTTTAAAAATGTGCAATTGAAACTGAGTTTGTAAAAGAGTGAATTCTAAAGAATTTGTACCAAACGGAAACTTAATTTTAACTTTATTTTTTCGTTAATAATTTTCAAACTATATAATTCTCTCCACCAAGAATGCTATATGAGTTTGTTTGACTAATGTTAGACGCGACTATATAATATAATTCATTATTCGAAAATTTTTCTTGTACATAATTATTGCATATAATGGTGTCCATAATGTAATGTGACAATCATTCGATTGTTGATGTGCAGGCATGAGATTTGAATTGAAAGTTTGATTCAGTGTTACGTGTAATTATGGACACCATTATATACACAATTATGTACATATAACACTTCCTTTCATTATTTACCTTAATCACCCATTTCAATGCAAATATCCAATTCCAGTGTGAATGGGGATATTGCACATGCCAAGAAATTCTGGTATGTGCACTAAAAATCTTTAAAGATGGGGGTGTCGTTTAGGATTTTGGCATGTTTCATAAGATTTATTTATTTATTTATTTTGGTGGGGTCGGATTATGGGAAGCAGCAAAGAGGAGGTTGTAGATTTACTAAAAAGACCATCGAGATTATATGTAATCAAAATTAAAATATTTTCCTTGTTTGTATGTTCACTCAAACAAAAATTGAGTTCAAGTGTTGTCCATGACATTTTTTTCAAATTAAAGTTATTTTTTAAAAGTTGATCACGTGACTATATTTTCCTTAAAAACAAGGAAAATATTTTCTTTAGAGAGATTTTTATTTTTATTTTTTAGATAACTTATTCCTCTCATTTATTCGTGAATAAAAGATGGATAATTATAATATTTTTCAAATTGAAAATAATTCAATTGAACATATTTAATTAATAATTTTCATAAAAATAAGTTCTAAACAATTCAATTGTACAAAATTTATTCTTTACATACAAATTTCATGTTTACAATTAACACACCCTCAGTGTTTCTAAAACTTCTATTATTATTACAATTTCTTTTCTTCTCCAAAAACAATATTTATAGTTAGTGCTCTTGTATATTGTATGACTAAATACGAGAACAAATAGCTTTTTTTATTTTTATTTTCTTCAATTCTTTATGCAAATCAAATATATGGGATATCGAAATTGAATTTAAGTATAAATTTTGAAGTAAATTAGAGTTGACTCTTGAGTTGAGCAATTTTCTTCACCAATGATAACTTGTTGTAGACCAAGTATTACCTCCATTGCCCATCATCATAATTTAGACATTTACACAATTTCAAAACCATTTTCCACGATTGTTTATTTGTAGACTTAATTTCTTATACAAGAACAAGGGAAAGAAATAGAAAATTTATAATAAAAAAATAAAGAATTTATACGTAAATTTGATGCTTTTTTTAATATCATTATTTACGACACTTAACAAGTATTAAGAGCATTCGTAAAGATTACAACAATACCTTCTAAATACTCGAACCAATAAACAAATTGCCTGATAAGAATATTTAATTTATAACATGGTACATTCAAGATATGGGGATGTCATTGCTTCTTTCAAATTTCAACTTGAAACATATCTTGTAAAATCTTTTATTATATAAATTTCTTTAAAATTGTGCTAGAAAAAAAGTCAACCCTTCTGGTAGACAATAATTTTCTCTAAAAAATAATAAACGTTTATCTTAAAAATAATTAAGCTCTAAATTTCATTTAACAACTATTAATTCGTTAAATACTCTAATGTCACATCTAAAGAAAAGACTAGATAGTACATAACAAAATAAAAATAAAAATAAAAAAATTAAAATTTTGTTAAATTATATTTTTGCTTATTATAGGAATGATTAAAACGTAGGTAAATATTATTAATAAAGTGGTAAACAATTATTTTGAAAATCTGCATAAAATCAGTACTTGTCAAATGTGAATCATAACCGTAACAATTGATCTTTTTATTGTATACTATTTAATAATTCATGGATTTGTACAGACTCTTCAAATATGATTATGCATACAAATGCCAAGAATTCAAAAGTCCAATAATTAATAATTTTAAAATTTTATTTCTCGAATAAAATTTCATCAATAAGTAAAATATTACAAATAAAAATTTAAATACTAATTAATAATACAATTTCATCGTCTATACTCAATAACAGTCAATAATGACTAACAAAATGATTAATAATATTGTCATCGACGACATGTATTATTAGTTTAAAAATTAATTACGTACTTTCTATATAATCATTGGTAAATTAGTTAGTTAGTTCATTTCATTTTTCTCTTGCCCTGATCTTTTAAACTAGTACAAAATTTTCTCTCAAGAGAAAGAGAAAAATATTTTTTTAGCAAATAAAACTGACAAATTTTAATCAAACCACATTGTCCAAAATAATGTGTAAAAAAAGAAAAAAAAAATGATGAGCTGAGCTGCTGAGTTGACATGGTTAAGGGGCAAATATTTAGATTAGTGGAAAACACGCTAACTCGTAATACACACAAATCTCTTGTCATTTTCTGAGGTGGGACACACCTCACCTCATATGAATGGAATGGCAGAATTGGGTACTGAGGGCAGCCTGGCATTTCAGAACATTTCCATTCTTCTTTCTTAGAGTTAGGCCATTTCATTTCTGTTTGTCAAGGCTCTTTTCTTGATTTGTTGCTGTATCTTCTTTTCATTAATGATTTGGTTCCACCCTAAAAGCCTCTACACAAAAATATTTTCAAGAAAAAGGAGTTCATTTGAGGACTGTCCTTGATTTTTCTCTTCATAATTTTGGTTTTTGATATTTATTGAAGAGGGATCTAAAGAAGTAAAGAACCATTTTTTATTTTTTTTTTGTGCTCTTTTCAGAGCATCTCATTATGGGAAACTGTTTTGGTTCTTCAGCTAGAGTTGATGCCTCTCTCAGCACCCCATCTGGTATTTTTTTTTCTCTCTCATCCTCTGTATGTTAATGGAGAAATAATTATCGTGTTTATTTAATTTTTTTGTCACCCTTTACAAAATTTATTTGAAAATTGAATCTTGGTGGGCTTGGATTGAATAAGTGTTTGACGTATGGCCAAAGTCAAAATCTTTTCTCTTTGCGAAAGGAATTTGGAATAGGGTTTTGCTTGATTCTTTGTTTTCTGACGTTTTGGATTGAGATTATAATGAACTTTTTGGATTTCTTGAATAGTTGTTGACCTTCTTGTGCTTTTTAGTTTATTTAAGTCCCATTTGATTTATCATCTTGGAAATTCTTGTTAGTTATCTTAATCCATGTTGCTATTATCTGTATTTTAGTGAATTAAATGGAAGATCATTTCCTTGATTATTTTTGTACAATTATTATTAATTGTGAGTAGGGACGGACCCAGGAATTTTCATAGGGTGACTGGAAATACTCGATAAAGTGAATGTAATAAAATTTACACGTACTACAAAAACTCGTTAAAGAACATTATTTATTTGAGTCGTTCCCAACGAGGATTTGAAACATAATACTCATCTATAATAAAATCTAGATCTATTTTCTAAGCAAGTTCTCTTTCTATAAAAAGTATCATACAATCAACAAGAAAGTCATCCTCCATTTTGTTGCAAAGTGTCGTCTTCACATGTTTCATCGCTAAAAATGCTCGCTCAGTACTTACGGTAGAAACAAGTAATGTCAATACAAGACGAATCAATCTAGTCATCATAATGTAAATCTCCAACCTTCCACTCTTAGTTAATTTTCTGCATAACTTAGCAAGTGTAGATACATGAAATCGGGACTCAGCCTTCATATCTAACTCATAATGTGGTAACTCATATTCCAATATAATAATATCTTGCTTCGAAAAATCTTGAGGATAGAATTTCTCAGCAAGTGTGCAAATTTTTCGACTGTCAAACAATCTAAATGAATCTTTAGGATCCAAAACTGCACTGAGAAAAAGGAGTTCTACTGACATGTTATTAAATCTTGTATTTAACTCAATCGTTACAAAATCTATTGCTTCATTAAAAACATCATAGTGATATTAATGCTCAATTGTAGTTTCATCACTAGAACGGCCAGTGTTATACAAACCTTCTAGATCAAGTATTGTAATATTATTTTTTGAGCAAAAAGATTTTACTTCTTGAAAAAATTCTTCCCAATCGTCATCTCTCAATTTTTGAAGCAATTGTTTACTGGTAGACACAAACCTCAAAGCAGCCAAGATGTCTTGGGATCTTCTTTGAAGGGCTTGACAAAGAACATCATTGATTCTCATTATTTTAAATGCAAGATAAATATGAACTTAAAACTCACCAACTTTTTGCAAGCCTGAGATCTGTCATTTGAACAATGATAACAAATATATTGAAGCACTTTGTGGGTTGCACCATATATATCTATCAAGCTCTTTATAAAGTTGTAATGTGAGCTCCAATGAATAGCTACCGACCGCTGCAAATTTACCATTTGATTAGCCCCACTTCCAGATTCACGCTCCCTGGTGGCCAGCATACATTGAATTTCCTCTCTATGAGAAGATTGCAACTCAGTAACTCGTTTAGGAGGAGTAATAATATTGACAATATTGTCCAAATGAGAAAAGAAGATCCAAATGACACGGACTTCTTTAGGTGCGCGACCAATGTTAATTGTAATCGATGGGCAAAACAATGGACATAGTACGCATATGGACAATCTCTAAGAAATAATGCTTGAAGTTCATTCCAAGCACCTCGCATGTTACTAGCGCCATCATACCCTTGTCCTCTCATTTTGTTTAGCCGAAGTTCATATTGAGCAAGAACATCACTTATTTCATTTTTGAGATTCGATGAAGTAGTATCATTGACTCTTTTGATTGCAAATAAACGTTCTATCAAACTAACGTAACTATTCGCAAACCTCACGATAATGGCCATCTGTTCTCGATTAGATGCATCTTGTGCTTCATCAACAAGAATGCAAAAGCATTCATCTCCAACTTCATGTCGAATCATCCATCGTACTCTATTGGCCATAATATGCAAAATTTCTTTTTGAAGGTTGGAGCAATGTATTGGGCATTTTGTGGTGCATTTCCAAAAAAACTTTACTAATGTTTGGATTAAAATCTGCTGCGTACTTTATTAGTTGTACAAAATTCCCACGATTACGTGAAGATGGAGATTCATCATTACCTGTGAAGCCTAAACCTTGAAATGCTAGCCATCGAACACTTTTAATTGAAGTCATTATATGCAAACGACGTTTTCGAATTTCCTCTTTCGATGCAGTATTCATTACCTTGTCAATATGCTGAGACGGTCTGATTAAATCTTTAACTCTAGTCTCACACAATTTATGATATGCTGAATTAGCATGAACAAGAAGTGCACATTTATTTCCATCTTTAACCCCCTTCCATTTATTAAATCCTTCAGTAACCAATCTCGAACAGGCAGAAGAATTACCTTCTTTTTGAAAAAGAAAACAATAAAAGCAATATGCCATTTCAGTTGAAGGAGAATACTCCAATCAAGGAAATTCAGTGAACCATTTTTTCTGAATGCGACGAGCTTGTTTTTTTCCTTCCTCCTCAAGCTTCAACTGATAAGGTCCAACTTTTATATATACAATTCTAATCTCATCTTGTAGATTGGCAGGATGTCCAAACATGTGCTTTCTTTTTCCAGGATCCCGTTCAATGTTAGTACATGATTGCAATTTCGGAGTTGAAACCGACGAATGTTCAATTTCTGGAGTTGGAGTTGGAATTGGAGGATGTTGCATAGGAGTTGAGGCTGAGGGGTGTTCAATTTTCGGAGATATACTTTCACGAGATTTACTAGTCTTTTTAAAGAATGAAAACAGTGTCTTTACTCTCTTCGATGAAGGTTGATCTTCCAGTTGTAAGTGCTATAAATAAGAGACAGAAAAAAATGAGACAAGGCAACAATAATATAACGCAGAACTTGAAGAATTTCCAATTAAGAACTAGAAATATAGACAATAATAATAATTCAAGAGACAAGAATCATCTTCAATTCCATATAAAATTATTTTTACATCCACATGAAAGGGTAATAAATGTCAACAATAACATTAAAGTCAGTAATAGTAGACACAATTTATGCGACAAAATCATTATGCTAATGAGGGATGATCAGTGATCACTAATGTGAGGTTCACACTTTAAATCAAGAAAATTAGAAATTGAGAAAAGAAAAAACATTTGAATTGACAGACACGTATAGATTTTGATTTCAAAGAACTAATTAATCTGTAGAGTATAGAGACTAAGGCTAAGCTTTAATTTGCATGAATTTGAAATTAATTCACAAATTAAGGATTCGTGAAAGGGAAGAAAAGGAAACGAAAAATTTAGGAAAATAGACAAGATGTAGGAGATATTTCTATTTGCTTACAAAATAAACTATTTGATAATAACTCATCTAAATATATGATACAATGCACAAAAAAAATAAAATAATAATAATAATAATACTAATTTGTCATTTCAATATCTCCCCAAATGAAAAAACCCTCCACCAAATGATGGGTCCCCAATCCATTTGACAGGTTCTCAGCCCGCTGCTCAGCCTAAGGTATATTTAAAAAATTAAAAATAGAACAAAGGGCCTAAAATTATGAATTACAAAAATAATTAAACCAGCCAGGAAGAAAATTTACACACAAAGAGACAAACCTTTGTAGTCAGGGCCCGTAGAATGACGAGAGAAGAATTTGAGCCAATTACGAGGGTTGAACTGTAAACAAATGCCTATTTGGAATTTTGGATTTGAGATTTGGGTTAGGTTATTTGATTTTTAAAAACAAGGAAAAATTGTAGCAATTGTGTTTTCGAAAAAAATGGTGGGTTCAAAAATTGGGCTTGTACAAAGAAAAAATAAAAAAGTAACTGGGCTAGTACAAAGAAACAAATAAAAAATTCCCAAACAATTTGGACTTGGGCTGGGACTTGACTGGGCAAGTCTCCCCCGCGTCCCCCTCTCAAATCCATCTCTGATTGTGAGTCTTTAATATGAAATCCTATGTCTAATAAATTTATTTGAGTTTTGTTATTTATAGGTCAAATTTAGAGTGAATTTTATGTTTTCGTTTTCAGTAATGAATTTCATGAGGAAGAAAATTGGTAAAAGTTATACTTCATCCGTCCCAATTATATAGGTTGAGTTTCCTTTGTCCCAAATATATAGGTCTGTTTTCCAATTTAGAATATTTTGTTTTGTTTTTTACCAATATACCCTTTATTCAATTTTTCCCACTTAATATGTCAACTTTTTGAAATCATCCAAATACACACATTTTTCACTTCTTAAAAACATGGAACAACTTTCATTTCTTCTTCAAATTGTTCAAATTCTTTACTAATTGCAACAAAAATTCATTGCTATATACTGAAAATTAAATAGGGACAAACTAGTAAAGATCTTGGCAAAAATTAATTTTCCAATAACATTAAAAAGGATTTCTTAATCCGTGTGAAAAACGAAACAAGCTTATATAATTGGAACGGAGGGAATATATTGTAAATGAAGAAAAGATGACGGTCAGTGGCGGACGCAGACATTTTAGACTAGGGGGTCAGTAACGAACTTTTAAAAAAGTGATGAAAAAATTAAAATAAGATATATCTTATTACAATTGCTCTCTACGTGTTCTCATACTTTGATAACGTTCAATAATTACATCATTTTCAATCTTATCAAAAACATCATTCTCAATATATGCAATCAAACTATCATTCAACCATTGATCTCCAATTCGATTGCGCAGACGATTTTTGACGTAAGTCATCGCAGAAAATGCTCTTTCGACTGTAGCAGTAGCCACGGGAAGAACTAAGGTTAGTGTCACAAGTTTGTAGACTAATGGATACACTTCATGTTTATTCTTCACAACCAACTTCTGTGCAAGATCGCTAATGCCTTGTAATTCTTCAAAGTCTTCAGAAGTGCGCATATCAATAATATACGTATCTAGTTGATCATCAAGTTCTAGAATATCTGCTGCATCAAAATCTACCGGATAATACTGACATAGTCGAATCAATTTGATCTTGTCAAAAGCAGCAAATGAATTATTTGGAGATAAACATGCGACACAAATAAGCAAGTCACTATTTGCTTCAGAAAAACGATCATTCAACTCTTGAAGTTGCATATCAATGACGGCATAAAACATTTCCACACGAAAATGATGCAAATTTGTCACTGTCTCACGCCGTGAACGACCTACAGTTATGAACATATCATCC